ATATGACTCATACATGACCATTTGATTAATTTTCTTTCAAATCCCTTTCAGACAACGTTTTTTGGATTCTAAAAAAAAAATTCCATTTTTTTGCTAAGACTATTACTTCTGGGTGTTAACATATTAGCGTAATTTATTTAATGAACATTTGCATTTTGTATTGTAGGCATAAATATGATGGTAGAATAGGCCTGGTAATGCATAAACATAGAAAATCACATGTTTGGTATGTGTTGAACTCATCCCTCCAATGATTGCTACAGAATGACACTGAATTAATCGCGTTTTCTTATTAGTGGTTGTTATAGTTAGCAATAAGTTCTATGCATTTTTCTTTTTTTACCCATCCTCATTTTAACATAGTCAATTATGGCGTATTTATTTTTTTCAAAACTCATCGAGTAGATAACTATATTTGATTTGCATAATATTGATCACTCTGAATAGTAGATTTTTGTTTATGGTTGATATTTGCAAAGTTCTGTATCAATGTTGTAGTTTTTTTCACCTGAAATATAGAACAAGATAGCAACACGAGTTTTTGTAAGTATAAAGTTTGCAGTGCAATTAACCAACCACGGCGGACGACAAATACTTTGTTCTTTTTCCCCAGGCATCGCACGGGTAATTCGCTAGTTTGAAAGAAAGAAAAAACCGGTTCATGGAATTTAAAGCAGACACGTGTCATTTTTGTTGTTAATCATTTAAGTGTAAAAGAAATCTGGTTCATGGGGTTATTTATGTGAATGTGACAGATAAATTTTTCTACAAAAACATTAAATCCTTATATATATATATATATATATATATATATATATATGATAAAATCATTTCTACATACGCTTCACGTACAACAATGATATGTGTATGATTATATTCTCCACATTTAATGCTTTCATCTTTTGTATGATCATGATTCCTCATATTTAATATTTATATATAACAAGTATTTAATTGCTGCACGTATAGCAGCTGCAAAAATGTAAACCCATAAATATAAGAGAGGTTATATTTACAAATTAAATAATTTACAAACTTTTACAACTAAATCTTAACCGTTGATTTCCGTTAATCTAACAATTATACTTTATTGAGAATTAATAATAAATTAATAAATGTGACCCAATAAATTATAACAATTATAATGACAGAAATCAACCGTTAAAATTTAGTTGTAAGAACAAATTAAAGTACGAACATGTTGTGGCAATAGATGACTTATATAATTGTGGATGACATGTGCATCAATGTTAATTGATGATTCACATGCCATAATAGTTATACAAATGTTTAAAAAGTCATGATCCATTAATGGTAGATAATGGAAATAATTGTTAGTGTCTTAATCATAATAGTTCATTCAAATCTTCATAATAATTAAAATCTAAATTTGGCTCATACAAATAAGCATTTAGTTTAGAACTTACAGTTGTGCGAATTAATGAATGAAACACATTATCGAATAACCATCTCATCTATACGGTGAACGCTACTTAATTTAAATTATTAAGTGAATGTCACTTCTGAAGTCTTAACAAATTTGTATAATTTAGTTTCAGGTTCGAGTCTCTCCACTGTTATTGGAAGTTGTGATTCTCATAAAATACTTTAATAATATTTATATTAAAATTCTGTAATACATATAAAAAAAGAAGAAGGTAGAATCTAAAAAATACACAATATAAAATACGGGTTTGTTTTTTCTGATGTTACTTTAGATAACTTTATCTAATGTTCATCAAAATGACGTCGTTCAGGGTTATAATATGGGTCCCACGTGTTTTTTATCTTTATGAAATGAGATTTCAATTCTCATGTAAAATAAGAATTATAAAACCTATATATATAGAGAGAGATAGAAGTAGGATCATTTCACTCTAAGAGCCATTAGATTAAAAAAGATCAACGACTCTGATTTATAAGCATGTGAATCTTTTTCGATCTAATGGCTCTTAGATGAGGTGTTAAATTTCAAATTTAACATTGATGTCAAAGGATCTTACCTTATATATATATATATATATATATATATATATATATATATATATATAAGACCCGCCTACTTTTACGAAAATGTGGCCGATAAATTTTTTTTATATCAAAAATAGAAATATTAAATTTACATATAATATATATAAATAGGGATAGAAGATTATACTTGTTTTTTTTTTCCATACCTATTATTTTCTAATACCATTGTATGAGAATATTAACAGGAGAGAAAAAGACGAAGATTAGTTGAGATGTGATCGAATAGTATTAGAGATGAATAAATAAAGTAAATATTAAACAAGGTAAGCAGAATATCTTATCTAATATAATTAATAAATAAAGGGACACGATCATCTTACATCGGTGTAAGAATAACAAGTCTTATATGAAATCTTAACCGTTAATTTTTGTGCGTATAATGTTTAAGATTTATTGGATCTCATTAATTAATTAATTTTTAATTTTCATTAAATCTCAATGGTTAGATGCACAAAAATCAACGATTAAGTTTGATTAAGACTTATTATTTATACGATTATATCGCATAAATAAATATTATTGTAAATATTTTAAGGGATAGAGTATTGTTATTACCAAATAATGATACTACCAATATTACTATTATATCTTAACTGTTGATTTTCGTCAATAAACAGTTATCATTTATTACGAATTAATAATTAATTAATGAATTTGATTTATAAAAATAATAACCGTTGATTGACGAAAATCAACGGTTAAGATATGATAAAAATATTGATAATAATATTATTTGATAATAACATTATCCTATCCCATATTTTAGTATTGGTATTTTGTATTGATTCATTTTCGTTGTTTCTCCCCACATATAAAACAGGAAAACACACGAACCTTGATAATATTTATATGTCTCTCTTTATCATTCTTGAGTTGTAACTTACCTCTGATCTCTCTATCTTCTTTCAAACAGGGACTAGACCCTTTGCTAGAACAATATGCATCTCATCACGTTGGTGCTGTATGCATTGTTGTACATGAAGATACTCAATTATTTAGTACATAATTATATTTGATTTGCATAATAAATGATGTTTCTCAATTTCAATGTTTTGTTTGTGGTTGATACTTACAAAGTTCTACGTGAATGTTGTAGTTTTTTTAACTCCAAAAATAACACGAAACAGTGACAAAATTCTTTCTTTTAGACAAGGGCGGACCTACATGGAGGGTGTGGATGGGCGGCCGCCTCCTCCCAAATCTGAAAAAACATGTATATGCTCCCAAAAAAACATAATATACTTCATTTTTTTGTAACTGTTTGTACATGTTCTCTGCTTTTAGATTGTGATTTTCCTATTTTCCACTGTTGACATGGGCATATGGCAATAAAACAACTTATGTTAAATTCGTCAGTTCAGTATACTTGTTAAACTATATCTTATTTGAAATATAAATTGGATTTGTTAAAATTTCAGCCCCCTCTTATAATTTTTTGGGTCCGTCACTACTTTTAGAGATTAACCAATGATAGTCGTAGACAAAATTTTTAATATTTTCTCCCATGCATCGCACGGGTAATGCACTATTACAGTAAATATTAACAAGGTAGACATAATAACTTATCCAATATAATTAATAAATAAAGGGGCATGATCATCTTAGATGCACGAATGATAAATCTTATATCAAATCTTAACCGTTAACTTTCGTGCATCTAATGTTTAAAGTTTATTGGGTCTTACTTATTAATTAATTTTTAATTTTCAATAAATTTTAACAATTAGATGCACGAAAATCAATTATTAAAATTTGGTGTAAAATTTATTATTTTTACATTTGTATAAGTTGATCCTATCCATAACCAAAAAAAAAATTATTATAAATATTTTAAGGGAAAAACTACTCTTATGCAACATAAGAGTAGTTTTATTTTCAATAAATCCATCGAAAACAATGACATTTTTTTTTATAAATAGCGAGCTCCATCATATGTATATCTACAACACGAGAGATCTTATCTCATGCAACATGAGATTGGATGAACTCATATTTTAATGAAAAAAGTGTGTGTCATTTTAAAGATGTAAAATTGTGTCATTTTAAGTGAAAGAAATAGATAGATAAAGGGAGAGAGAGAGTGGACAAAAAAATAAAGGTGTGAATTCTAACTATGTGTGAGAATGAAATGATAGAAGTTTTGTGTGAAACACTTTTCCCATAAGAAATGATAAAAGTTTTGTGTGAAACACTTTTTCTTATTTAATATTGGTATTTTGTATGGGAAAAATGTTTATTTTTTTAAATGACACAACTTATATCCTTTCACTCTCACGAGGAGGTGAGACTCACACCTTTATTTTTTTTGTCAACTCTCTCTCCTTCTTTATCTATGTCTTTATCTCTCTTAAAATGACACAACTTTACATCCTTTAGGGCCTGTTTAGAGCACCTGATAAAGAAGATAGAATAGGATAGCTTATCATATCTTATTTTTATCTCTTGTTTGGTGGGTCAATAGGATATGATTAGCTTATCCTATTGTCTCATTTTATCCTATCCAATGCATGATTTCTTATCCTATAGATGGAGCTGAGTTATGATTCAATAGGATAGGATATCACTATTGAATACCCAATAAATTCTCACGTTACCCAATATATCCCACTCTACCCAATATATTTGTATTTATTGCCTTATATTTTATTTTTTCTTTCTCCTTTTTTCTTCTACATAATTTTATCAGATTGCTAATTAGGTGCTCATCAAACACAGGACATGATATATATTTATCAGCCTCATATCATATCTTACCCTTATCCTATCCTATCCACCAAACAGCCCTCGAGATCTTTTAAGATCTTTTTTAAGATTACATACACTTTTCCCATTTTGTATTGAGTCATTTTCGTTGTTTCTCCCACGTATAAAACAGCAAAACACAAGAACCTTGATAATATTTTTATGTCTCTCTTTATCATTCTTGAGTCTTAACGCACATCTGATCTCTCTATCTTCGTTTCCAACGGGGACCAGACCCAGAACCCTCCACAAACCATCATGGTTGAAACTAGACGCAGCTCCTCTTCTTCCAAGCGCTCTCTTTCTTCGCCTTCTTCTTCCACCGCCAAACGATCCAAGGTATAATCTTTACCGCCTTTCTCTGCTCCTCACCTCTGTTATTGGATGACAATCATCCTATTCGTCATCTGGGTATGCAATTTTCATCTCAATTCGTGATGGGTGTTGATCGATTTTTTGTGATGACCTAGGTGTCCGAGGATGCCACATCCTCAACCCAGCCCTCGGCGGGAATTATCGCTCCGGTCAACGAATCTGGAACCGGGAATGAATCTGGGGAACCGGAGATACGGCCCTCTGATCTGCCGGAAACGGCGTCGTTGAAGGCTGTGGATGTTTGTGATGCGATGTTACCAGACAAGGAACCTTCTGTGCCCGTCGAAGGCGAGGATTTGGTGTCCCCTCAGTATATAGGTGAGAAAAATTCAATCTTTTTTGTGTGTTTTTCATCATTTGATGTATGGGGTTGCTGACTCTATGCATGCATGTGGTTTTTGGATTGGTTGGATTCATGAATTTGTGGCTGACATCAGGTAAAACTGCGGAGAAATCAACGGTGGCCGTTGCCGGGGCAGCACAGGGTCGGTCGAAGAAACGCCCTACAAAATCGAGCCCTAAGACTGCGTGGGGGAAGCTCCTCTCTCAGTGGTCTCAGGTTTACTTTTACTCTTAGTTGAGTATTTGCATGCTTGTTGTTTGTCTCAAAGCAGTTTCGTTTCACATTCTAGGAGAGGAATGAATGGTCGATATTTTTTATCCTTGGATTTTACTTTTGTTCCAAGACTAGTGATTTTGATGATGCTGGAGCTCTTTCTCTTATTATTACATGTTGCATTGTGGAGTGTGGGTTAATTACAACCTTATTTTGAAAAATTACACCTACCTCCCGTATTTTGTTACTTTGCTATTTAGAAGCCAAAATGGTGTAGGAAGCCTGCATAAAGTAAGGGAGGTAAGTATAATTCCTCGAAGAAAGAGGAGTGTTGGGTGGAAGAACAATACATAAAGTAAGGGGTGCAGGTTTAATTTGCCAAACAAGAGGGTCGTAGGACATAATAAGCACTAGCTTCAAGGGATGTCCGTGTAAGTGCCTGTTAGAGATACGTCATCTGTTACATATCTCCAATAGTACCGTTAAATTATAAGATTGGAATGACAGGCCTTAGTTGCCCAGGTCCCTTATTCTAGAGTAGAATAGTGAAAGCTAATTAGCTGAATTAGTTAAATTTGTTTGGAGGTTAACGTTGCATTGCTGTAAAAAATAAGCAAATTGGTGGGAACTGATTAGCAGAAATTAAGAACGTAACAAAGCAGTCTCAGTCTTGTTATCCCTTTTTCTTTGGAATGGTTAAATTTGTAACTTTGGGAAATCTGATTTTCTTATGGTGCGTTGCCAAGAAGAGAAGATCTTGTTTTATGCTATATCACATATAGCAAATACTGTTTCGGATTATAGGATGCACCATCAACTATGCACAGAAGATTTGGTGAAAACAAATATTGTCTTTGATTTTATTGAAAAAAATAATGATGGTTGACATGAGTAATGAAATGGGGAGAATTCTGAGCTGATTTATGCTTCTATCTTCTTATTAACTCTTCCATTTCTGATTGTACTGTTGTAGGTTTGGAATTAATCTTTTTGTTATTCTTGCTTCTCCAGAATCCTCACCTGTCCATGTATGATCCTATCTACACTGTTGGTCAAGGCCGTCAGTGTAATTTATGGCTTAAAGACCCCACTGTCGGTAACATTTTATGCAAGTTGAGCCGCATAGAGGTAGAGAGTTTTTCTCTTTTATCTTTTGAAACTTAAAACAACCAGCTGAATAACTAAGGGTTCATCTGCTTTATAGCTTTTTTATGACAAATATGTAATTTCTCAGACAAAAAAAAATTCTATTTTAGTTGTTTGGTGAAACAGCTGAAAAGAATGAATTTTTGTTCAGTTATGGTAGATGGTTCCTAAAAATGTCCCAACTGAAGAAAATTGCGGCTAAGCATTTATTTGTTTCTTAAGATTACTGACAGCTGTTGTTATTTGAACTCTGCACAGCGTGGAGATTCGTCTGTTGCATTACTGGAAACCACAGGGGGTAAAGGTGCTGTTCAAGTCAATGGCAAGACTTATCGAAAGAATGCCAGTCAAATATTAAGCGGAGGTGATGAGGTGGTCTTTGGTTCATCGGGCAAGCATGCTTATGTATCCTTTACATATGGTTCCCTAGGAAGAATTTATCTGTTTTGTCTTTTACCTCCTCCTTGCTTTCTTATTCTTTCTTTGCATGCTTCTGTGGTCACTTTTACAATGAAATCAGTTAGTCATTTGTTCTTTGTATTTACATTATAAAGTATAAGCTGCTATATTTTTGTCCATTCTTAAATTCCTTCTGTTGATAATTTATGGGTTCCTTAGCATGGAATTTAGATCTTTCAGCAGCTTACAAATGATAATATTGCTACTGCTGGTATAACTTCTCCTGTGAGTATTTTAGAAGCCCAGAGTACTCCAATAAATGGAATGCAAGTTGAGGCTAGATCTGGAGACCCTTCAGCTGTCGCAGGAGCATCAATATTGGCCTCTTTATCTAATCTTCATAAAGATTTATCTCTCATTACACCTGCTAAAACTAGCAAGAATGTGCAACAGAACACTGATGTTTCATCACAACCTTCTGGCCACGGGGATGATATTCCAGACATTGAAGTGAAGGATACCATCAATAATGATGAACCAGCTGGAGTTTTTTCTGCTGATAAAGCTGTTCTTGCATCCTCTACCACTGTTAATGAAAATCCTAGCCTTGACAACTTGGATGTTGATTCCAATGTGAAAGAAGATGTTGGGAAGATGACTGCAACCTTACAATTGAGGCCATTATTGCGCATGCTTTCTGGGTCGCGTCAGGAATTTGATTTAAGGTCTACCATTTCCAAGATATTGGAAGAGCGAAGGGAATTAAAAGAACTCCTTAAAGATATTGATACCCCAACAATATTGGCTTCGACTAGACGGCAAGCATTTAAGGACAGTTTACAACAGAGAATTCTCAATGCTGAGAATATTGATGTTTCATTTGAAAGCTTCCCATATTATCTAAGGTGCAAACAATTACTTCTTGTTTTTAATTTATTTCTTATTTGATTTCCTAACATATGCTACCTTAGCTATATACTACCTCTAGTGTGGTTGCAGTTAGATGTACTCTACAGCTACCTTGATATTCTTTATTGCTATATTGATGGGTCGAATTGCTTGTAGTTTTTGAGATAGATAAAAGATAATTTATGACTATTTGGTTATGATGTTTTGTGTTATTACAGTGATACGACAAAGAATGTTTTGATTGCTTCTACATATATTCATTTGAAGTGCAATGGCTTCGGAAAATATGCTTCAGACCTCCCCTCAGTGTCCCCGCGGATATTGTTATCTGGTCCTGCAGGTAGCTCCATCATTCTTGTTTATGCTTTCATTTCCCCCTTTTTGTAATAGGGAAGTGATATCATTCTAAACAATTCTTGTGTAGGTTCTGAAATATATCAGGAAACATTGTCCAAGGCACTTGCGAAGCATTTTGGTGCCAGGCTACTGATTGTGGATTCTCTTTCACTGCCTGGTGTATGGCTTCTAAGATGTTCTTCTTTTGTTATATGTATAAATTTTTTTAGGATTGTACTTTACTAGTCTGGGAATTTTGACTCTTTCCTGCTTCATGATCTTTCCTGGCATTATCTGCTTGCTTCTGTTAGGATGGTTTCTTGCTAAATCAACATTAACATAGACACATAATTGTTTTTTATTGTGTAATTGATTTTTCAGGGAACACCATTAAAGGAAGTTGATTCTGCTAAAGAAAGTTCAAGGCCTGAAAAATCATCTGTGTTTGCTAAGAGAAGTACCCAGGCTGCCACATTACAGCATAAGAAACCACTTTCTAGTGTTGATGCTGAAATTATGGGTGGATCCACATTAAGTTCTCATGCTATGCTGAAGCAAGAGGTTTCTACTGCATCATCAAAAGTCACAACTCTTAAAACAGGTATGCTGTTGTGTCGTGACTCCTGATAATGAGCACCTATCTGCAAATTTTATTCCTATTGTATCGTTCTATTACGTACGCTTGGCGTCATTCTGAAGGCTTTAGTTGCATGATGCTTACTTATTTTGCAGGTGATCGAGTAAGATTTGTTGGTAACTTTCCTTATGCTGTATCATCACTACAAAATTATCCTTCAAGGTAATTTGGGTTATGGGAGAATTATTCTTTATAATATTTTTATAGATTATGAGTCGTATAGGTTGATATGATATTGTAGAGATGTAATATTTTTGTAGTTTTTTTGTTGAGGAGGATTCACATAAAATTCTTCTAATATGGCTTTAAAAATCATTGTGACTTTTATAGAGACTAATAAGATTTTGTAGCAGAAGTGTCCTCATTTGCAGAGCTTATAACTTTTGAAAATTTCTTTTGGAGCAGTTACTCTCTCTCTCTTCTCTGTAAAAGAGCAGTCTGAATGCATATGATTTAAGCTCTAGATTTGCTTTAGGTTAGAATGGTGTTTATGTCTTCACTCTGGTGCATTGCTCATGACTGTTTCAAGGGAGTTTCAGTTTCTGTTATATGGAGAGTTTAAACAACTTTCATTTGTCTTATTTCTATATATTTTTCATTTTCAGTTTTGGTGGTCATTTTATTCTCCTGGCAGTTGTTCTTTTCCTCTACTCTCTCAAATATAACTTCTTTTTAAATCTAATCCTTTAGTTTAATTTTTGTTCTTCTGGAAAATTTAGAGTTTACTCTTCTGCTGTATTGGGTAGGGGACCAAGCTATGGCTCCAGGGGCAAAGTTCTCCTTGCTTTTGAAGATAATGGGTCTTCAAAAATTGGCGTTAGGTTTGATAAATCAATTCCAGATGGCAATGATCTTGGAGGCCTTTGCGAAGACGATCACGGGTTCTTTTGTTCTGGTATTTTACTGGACTTTTGATTGAGCTTCTGTTCCCTTAGCTGCATAGTAGCAGATTGTATGCTATAATTTTTGCATATATTAAAAATTCAATGATTATTTATAATGCAGCAAATCATTTACTACGGGTAGATGGTTCTGGAGGGGATGACATTGACAGAGTTGCAATTAATGAAATCTTTGAGGTGGCCTAAGTTCTTTACTTGTCCAAAAGTTTGCTTGTGTTCTGAAAAATTATATTTAACACCCGCTCTTGTTATATACATAGGTTGCCTCAAATCAGAGTAAAAGTGGAGCACTGGTCTTGTTCATTAAAGATATAGAAAAGGCAATGGTTGGGAACTCTGAAGTTTTGAAAAGTAAATTTGAAAGCTTGCCGAAGAATGTTGTGGTAATTGGCTCACATACCCAGCTCGACAATCGTAAGGAGAAGGTGCTGTATGATTATTATATTCGTTAGCTTGCATTTGTTTGTTGTGATCTCATGACTAGAGGAACGTTTATGCTGCTGTATTTGAAGATTGCTTCTTTCTCTTCCAGACCCAACCTGGCGGCCTTCTGTTTACGAAGTTTGGGAGTAATCAGACAGCACTTCTTGATCTTGCTTTTCCGGTATAATAATCATCGACAATGCTCTTCTTTACCTTGATCTAAAGCATGGTGTAGTTCTAGCATGGAAGTTACAGTGCTTGTCTTTGTCTGTACCCTCACTTTTCCATTGCTTTGAGATAGATGGATTTCTAAATATTTGTTAATATCATTGTGCATACATTGTACCTTGACTGTTTCTGGTTCCTTCAGGAGTTAATTATCAATCTAATATAATTTGGTCCTTTGTTTAGGATAACTTTAGTAGACTGCATGATAGGAGCAAAGAAACCCCCAAAATAATGAAGCAACTTGGTCGCCTTTTCCCTAACAGAGTAACAATACAGCTGCCTCAGGTATCATGTTAAATTAATTTTATTGTGTAATTTATATTGTTTCTATGTACAGTTCATGTATCCATTTTACTTTCAAACTTGTACAGGATGAGGCTTTACTTTCTGATTGGAAGCAGCAGTTAGAACGTGACGTTGAAACCATGAAAGCTCAGTCCAATGTTGTTAGCATTCGCTTTGTAAGCCTGGAAACATCTCTTGGTTATTGTTCTATTCTATGCTTCCTCTTGCTGCTGCACTTTTTTGTGCTTGTTATTGAATGAGACTAATTATTGTGTGCTTTTGGAGTATGTGGTATCACAATCATTTGCTTTTTGAAATTTTCGTTTACCGGGCTTGACAATTATGGATGTCATTTTAAAAGATGTCTCCATGGATAATTTCTTTTTTGTTTCCTGTTTTTTAAAGTTTACCCATCTTGGCCATCCGTATTCGTTGTTGTTTGCTTTGCGTTGACTTTCCACTTGGGCTTAGTACTGAGAAAATAGATACAGAAACTTTTTCTGCAAACAATACAATTATCCACTTGATGTTGATTTTTCAAACAATATGGAAAGCTTCATTTTGTTGTGCTCTGACTTGGGTTTATTCAATATTTTAATTTATTGTTGTCTTGCCTTCTGTAAAACTCCTGATGGGATTCTTCTAATGAATCAGGTTCTCAACAGAATTGGACTGGATTGCCCTGACCTTGAGACACTCTGCATCAAAGATCAAACCCTAACAACTGAAAGTTAGTTTTTTTAAATGTTTGAAATTATTTTCGTGCTAATTATGAAATATTGAGGTTTGCTGTCATATTACTAATAATATCATGTTTACTCCTTTTGCTAGGTGTGGAGAAGATCATTGGCTGGGCTATAAGTTACCATTTTATGCATTCATCTGAAGCTTCTATAAAAGAATCTAAGCTTGTGATAGCTGCAGAAAGGTTGTCCCCATCATTTTTTATCATTTCCTTAATGTCAACCCTAAAAAATTGAGTAACAAAATGTAACAGAGTTCTCAGACTTTCAATTTTTATTTTAACACTATTTTTCATTTCATTTGTGCAGCATTAAGTATGGGCTTGACATTCTACAGGGTATTCAAAATGAGAACAAGAGCTTAAAAAAATCACTGAAGGTAATTTAACATAAGCTATTACGTATTTATACCTTTTCTCACCCTATCTTGCGGAGTAAGTATTTTGCGATACTGGTTTCTTTACAGTCAAAGTTTGCATTATGGGATTAATACCCATATCTATTAAATTGTTTTTCCAGGATGTGGTTACTGAGAATGAATTTGAGAAAAAATTGCTTGCTGATGTTATTCCACCAACCGATGTTGGGGTCACGTTTGATGATATTGGAGCTTTAGAAAACGTGAAGGACACCTTGAAGGAATTGGTCATGCTTCCTCTTCAGAGGCCTGAATTGTTTTGCAAAGGACAGCTGACTAAGGTGGAAAGATTTTCTATTTTAGTTACTTTAAATGATTTGTGGAACACTTTTTAAAGTAGATCATGCCATACATATAGCTCCTTACTGCAATTACTTTGGATATAGCCTTGTAAGGGAATATTGCTTTTTGGGCCCCCTGGCACGGGAAAAACAATGCTTGCAAAGGCTGTAGCAACTGAAGCTGGAGCAAATTTCATTAACATTTCCATGTCCAGTATTACTTCAAAGGTATTTATATTGCAAATTGAAACCATTTTGTTCTATCGTCGACTTTTTTTTATGCTTTAGTTTTCCTTTTATGATTTAGTGACAGGATAGATATTATTTTGTTTGTTACAGTGGTTTGGCGAAGGAGAAAAATATGTCAAAGCAGTTTTTTCTCTGGCCAGCAAAATTGCTCCAAGTGTTATTTTTGTTGATGAGGTTGGTATAACTTGTCAGATGTATCTTCCTTTGAAGTTTTATTTTACTTTGTTTAAATATTTTTATTTTCATGTGTGCTTAATTGTAATTTTTTTTATTATTATTCTCACCATTTAGAGGGTGCTGTTATGCTCACGTAACTAGTGGGTAATGACACATCATACGGCATATCAGTGTGACATGGAAACATGTGACAGCTGAGGTGGCTCAATGGTTTAGATGTGAATACAACCCTCTTTTCGCTATGTCCCTGTATTTGACTGCATTCGTCATTGTGCCTTTAAAAATGGTAGCTTTCCATACGATATATCTTGGTTCAGAAACAGTTGTGAATTCCCCAACTTGAACACGCAAGTGGGATTTTTGTTGGTGTCAATTAACAAATGTAATTGTTTGAGGCTTGTAATTTTGTAAAGTGTGTTTTCCCAAACTCTTTGATGAAATTCAGCTGTTTTCCATGTAAGTAACAAATTCTTTATAGTCCTGCATTCAGGTCAAGGCGCCTTGGCCTTCCAAATTAGAGGTACTAACTACTGTAAACGCCAGGCTATACATAGGAGTTTCCAATTCTCTTATCTGCATTACTTCAACTTTAAATCATCAATTAAATATCAAACTGATGATAAAGAGATCTCAAATCCAAATAGATTCAATTTTACCAAAGGGTCCAGAGTTTTCAAGCCTTGAAAGAAGAAATTAAGAAAGTTATTTCGGGTAAGCCTTTGGTGACTTGGTTTGAGAGGTTATGTATGTGCATCAAATGGGGGAAAGCAAAGTAGTGAACTATACAATTATGTTAAACAGATGTGCAGAAGGAATTTATGGCTTGCAATGTGATGGAGACAATAATAGAAGTCTTTGAAGTGTTAATTTGGGTGTAGCATTTGTTAATTGTTGTGGGTAAAAGGCTGCTTAGGGAATCCCGACAGTGTTTGTGTTACATTGGGTTGAAGAGCTTGTGTACGTTGTGATTTGGAATAAATTTGTGAGGATCCATTTGCAAGGTATGGGACTTTGAGTCCCACATTGGTTGTACGGGCAACGAATGTGGGGTTTATAAGGCTTTAGGCATTCCCACCCTTTGAGCTAGCTTTTGGGGTGATGCATATCAAGGTTCTTATCAAATGGTATCAGAGCCTTCCACTATATCTCCCGGTTGCAATCGAGTGGCGCAGGTGGTGACGCCGAGTCGCCGACATTGCAGTGTTCGCCCGGGGCTAGTAAAATACTAGCGCAAAGTCAACTCGCATGGGCGGCGAGGCTGCGGAGTGTGGTGGAATGTTAGGACCCATTTTGCTAGTTATGGGACTTGGAGTCCCACATTAGTTGTATGGGCAATTAATGTGGGGTTTATAAAGCCTTGGGCACTCTCATCCTTTAAGCTAGCTTTTGGGGTGGTGCATCCTAAGGTTCTTATCAAATTGTATCAGAGCCTTCCACCATGTTTCTCGGTTGCAATTGAGCGACACGGGTGGTGATGCCGGCATTGCAGTGTTCGTCCGGGGATAGTAAACGACTAACGCAAACTAGCCCCGTGGGCGCTGGGCTACGGAGCATGGTGGAATGTTAGGATCCATTTGCAAGGTATGAGACTTGGAGTCTTATATTGGTTGTATGGGCAACGAATGTGGGGTTTATAAGGCGTTGAACACTCCCACCATTTGAGCTAGCTTTTGGGGTGGTGCATCTCAAGGTTCTTATCAAAATTCTATTCAAATTTGAACCAAAAGTTCAAAAGGTTAAACAGATATTTTTTATTGAACACCTCAGTTATATAGCTTTGTGATTATTTCTTACAATGGTATATCTTTAAATCAGCTCCAAATTTCCAATTCTTCAGCACTACTGAAAAAGTTCAATGAACATTTAGGAAAAAAAAAAAAAGGCCAGATGAAATACTTGCTAAAATTAAGCCCTAAACATATTTAAATCCTGTCTATTTTTTATGGTAGCTACTATGGATTTTCTTATTTTCAATTATTTGTTTTAATTTATTTTGTGGTACTTATGGCAGGTTGATAGTATGTTAGGGAGACGTGAAAATCCTGGTGAGCATGAGGCTATGCGTAAAATGAAGAACGAATTTATGGTTAATTGGGATGGTTTGCGGACCAAAGATAAAGAGCGTGTACTGGTTCTTGCTGCTACAAACAGGCCTTTTGATCTTGATGAGGCTGTTATTAGGAGGCTTCCTCGAAGGTAAACATGTTATGTTTGATTTCAACTTCATGTTTTTCATGATTTACAAATGGGATCTATTCTAATTCATGGTCTTTCTTCAAAATATTTGTAGATTGATGGTTAATTTGCCAGATGCTCCAAACAGAGAAAAAATTCTGAGAGTCATTTTAGGGAAAGAAGATTTGGCACCTGATGTTGATTTGGAAGCAGTAGCAAATATGACTGATGGATATTCAGGGAGTGACCTAAAGGTTGTCTTTCTATATATCTTTCACTTCCTTTCTTTGTGTCTGGAGAAGGTTGCATGTAATTCTACATAAAATATTCTCATTTTTATCTTTTCATTGCAGAATCTGTGTGTCACAGCAGCTCACTGTCCAATAAGAGAGATCTTGGAAAAGGAAAAGGAGGTTAGTTTTATATTATGTATGTGTATGTGTGTGTGTGTGTGTGTGTGTTTAATTTAGAGTTTTTGTTGGTTGAAATGCCTATTACTTGTCTTCCTTGTTCTATGTTGGTTGTACTCAAGGGTGGCATTATTTCTTTACCTGTTGTGTGACTTACCTTTATGAGTCTTTAGAAATAGACAGTGCTTTAAGCTCTTGAGGGTTGTGAGTGTTGATCCAACCTTTTAAAATATATAGTGAAAGTTCCCCTTTTGAATGAAGAATACAAATTTATGTTCATGCAAGGCATTGATCTATGAACCTGTGCACCTTAATGTGCTTGCATTATAGTTCAGGGCTTGTTGATCTCTTACTCAGTTTGTGACATGAAATGTCTTTCAGGAGAGAAGCTTAGCATTGGCCGAGAGCAAACCTTTACCTGGATTGTGTAGCAGTGCTGACATTCGTCCCTTAAAGATGGAGGATTTTAGATATGCACATGAGCAGGTATGCTAATTTAGTTTCATTATCCAATGTTTTTCTTTTTTGGTGTGTTCACATTGGAGAAGAGGGTGAGCCTTGGCACAACTGTAAGATTGCTGCCTTGTGACCTGGTGGTTGTGGGTTTTAGTCTTGTGGACAGCCTCAGGGCAACGGAGCAAGGCTGCATAAATATGACATGACCCTCTGCAAGCCTCACCATGGTTGGAACCCTGTTCATTTAGCCATTTACCTTAATTTTTATTTCACTTTGGAGGAAACAGATTTAATCTCTGCTTTGCTAGCAAAACTGTATCAGCTATTTCAGAATTATAATTTGGCTGCTGGGGGATGGAAAATGATACCAAAAAAAGCGACGTGGTTGGTCTTCAGCGTTCAATTATTCTGGGGTTGACTATTTTGGTTGGGCATTTCTTACGGTCATAGATGAAAAATTAAACCTACAAAGAATGTAAACCTGAATTTGTCACATGCCTTTTCAGCCTCTCGTGTAAACATGATGAGGCTCTTGCTAGAAATTGAAGTTTGCTGGGTTTGACTGGCTGTATTGATGAGATCTTTTGGGGATGGGATAGTTGGTGGAGTTCACTTCATAAATCAGATAATTGGGTCATTAAGCTTTACATTTTGTTGGGAAACATCACCATACGTAACAGAGGCAAGAGAAGTTAGAAAATGGAAATTCAATGTTGAATGACTTTTGAATTATACGATGTGGGTTTGGTGAAGGGAAACTGACGTGGGTTTGAACATTAAGCTATATTTGTAGGGACTGAAGTTCTTGGATTACAAAATCAGTTATTTGTTTTTCATGTTGGATGCATATTGTATGATAATTGTCCTTTTAGTGGCCTGCAAGGATAATGTATAATGTTTCATATATATATGTTTGTGCAGGTGTGTGCAAGCGTGTCATCAGAATCAACAAATATGAATGAGCTACTCCAATGGAATGACCTTTATGGAGAAGGTGGATCCAGAAAAATGAGATCTTTGAGCTATTTCATGTAAAGCTCTCTTGTTGCATTTCTTGCCTAGGCTATTCTTCCATCACCAAAATGGTGTAACAAGGTCAGCGACCAGTTAATATGGAAATTCCATCATTAATCCTGCCTTTATTGTATTATATCATAGGTTTTCCTTTTTTTCCTTCCTCCAACCTTCACCATCCTCTGTTCTACCTCCAAATTTTTCCGTAATAGAATTTATTGACAATTTCACCGGAGATAAAGCTTAATTTTTAGGTCACCTTCTCATCCAACTCTTTCCCTCTTTCTTTATTCTTCCCCCTTGGCTTTTTGGGGTGCCCTCTTCTGAGCTTTCTGCTTGTAAATACCCAGTTTTTTTCTTTCAATAAAATTAAATTATTATCTTTTTTTTTTTTTTGCTAATTTCATATATGCGTTGTATTTTTCATTTGCTGTGCAACACCTTCCTTCCCCCCCAAAAAAAAAATAAAAAAATAAAAGAATGGAATTGCATGTTATTTGTATTGCCAAATGGATAATTAGACGCTGTAATTTTTGTTGGTGGAATGTTGGTGTACCTTAAGCAAATCCGTCATGGAAAGTGAATATGCTACTGTTTATCAATTTGATTTAAAACTATCCGCGTTACTATTTTACTAGCGTGTATTGTAAATGGACCTGTGGCACATGTTATATTGTCTGGAGATTGAGTTTATGGGCGAATTGATATTTTTTGATTATTAGACACTGTTATATTCTTGCCGTTTGTGTTCATTCCGTCCATTAAACTGTTACTCACAATGATGATGATGATGATGATAATAAATGTTTGAAGTCAGTTTGATTCTGGCTCCATTTTTACTTTGATTCGTCGGCTTGCTTTTTATGTCCGCCTGATGTTTCTAAAATTGAATTTCGTTTGTATGAGATTCCTGCAGCTTCCTTATCAAAAACAGTTTGTATGTATCTTGTGGTTAAGCATGCTGTCCATAATGGATACTAATTTTCATGTGTTATGATGTGTATGTGGGTATTGGACCAAAAAAGAAAATGAAGAGGAATAATTGTAGAAATTCACTGAAATTTTCCCGAGTTCACAGAGAGAGAACGAAACCATGCTACTGAAATTGTTGTTGAAAGTTTTTCTCAGTTCTTGTAATACCAAACAAAAAGGACTATAACGAAAGTTTATTGACAACACAGCATCATATTTTAGTAATTTTGGTCTCGTGTTTATAATTTGCATTTTTTAAAGAACGGACGAGATTATTATAACTCTAAATTGAAAAACTAAGTGAGATTTTTGGATTTTTAGCAGGGGATGTATTGTGCAATTTAATACTGATAAGATAGTTTGATCTGTCGTATGAAGTATCGTAAATGAATGCGGTTTATTTTGACAGTCGTTGCTGTATTAATAGTTAAACTTTGCTATTGCCCCATTGGTGATAGTTCCATTCGAAAGTAGTAAAAACGAATTTGGATACTGCGACTTGTAAGAATAAGTCTTTAGATATAGTCAAATTATTAACAGCTAACAATAATAGAAGAAGGGTATTTTTATAAATTTACACTCTTAATCTACTCTATTGGATAATACGTTGGTTTTTTTTTTTTTAACTATTTGTAAAAGATAATACACTGGTTTTGTTATTGAACAATGTTGAACGGTTTGAATTACGAATGAGTTGGCATTTTTGTTTTGTTTACAGTTTTTTACTTCTGTATTGGAAACTTTGATCATTTTTATCTTTTTTGGTGAGGAAACTTTGTTCATTTAACATTTAATTAATTACAACCCATTCATAATAATATTTATCATAATTTTTTTTTTTGTAAATACTAAATATTATATAAATAACTTGCATACATAGGCAATTTGCGTGGGTCATTTTTCAGAATGGATCCGAATTCAAACGTTATAAAAGTAAATCAATACGGAAAAGAGAAAAATATTAAAATAAAAAACAATAAAATTAAGGGAATGATATACTTACCACTAAAAAAATTTACAACCTTTACAACTAACCTAATCACTGTTGAGTTGATTTTCGTCAATCTAACGATTAGAATTTATTAAAAATTATTGGGTCGTAATTATTAATTAATTATTAATTTTCAATAAAATATAACCGTTAGATTGACAGAAATCAATGGTGATTAGATTGGTTGTAAATGTGGTAAACTTTTTTTGTGGTAAGTATATCTTACCCCGTAAAATTATCACATTAATTTATTCATAGATGATTAATATTTTTTTACTTGATATGATTATATTAAATAAAACAATGGAATATCCATTTTTGTAGTTTTTCTCATTCGGTATAGTCTGCTGATTATTTAAAACAAATATTGCATGAAAATGAAAGTAAAAAGTTTAGATGAAGGAAGAAGTAGGCAACATTATTTTAAGGAATAAATTGGTTGATGGGACAATGAAGAGGGAGAAGCATGTGCATTTGACTGGTCGAAGTCGCGAGTTGTGTGTCTGTGTCATTGTAGAAGGAAGCATTAGGCTAATTATGTGTACGGAGGGTACATTTTAATCATAAGCACCGACAATAACTAATAATAATAATCTGGAAAAGAAAAAGCAGCGGTCAGAAAGAATGAATAGGGAGGAGGAGGAGTTTATGTGTCATCGTTCAAGCTTCCTCCTTCCACCATCGGAGAAGGATAAGGATTCTGTAACCGCTCTTGTTATTCTGAATCAAAAACTTCCGAGATTCGCTCCTCTGCTTTGGGACCACGGTATTCATTCTTTCCTTTTTTGTTTGTTAATTTGTGTTTGTTGTGTTTAGGTTGTTTACTCCTTTTTGTTTGTGTGTCGTACAGCACAGGTTCGAGTCTGCGCCGATGGAGGTGCTAACCGTCTCTATGATGAAATGCCTCTTCTGCTTTCTCCTCAATCTCAATCTCAATCTCATCCTCATCCTCATCCTCAACTCAGGTCTTTACTCTTTTCCTCCTTTTCCCTTTCACATCTTAGCATCGCTATTCGCGTTTCATGGTGTCACCATTTCAGGTTTTATCACATGATTTGGCTTAACCTCATTATTCACATAACCCCTCTTATTTCTCATTCATGCCTAAATAACCGATTCAACGGTGATTAATGATTTTATATTTTATATATCCATAACGTAAAAGTCCACTCGGATTGAAAGGTGAATAATGTATAGGTTTGAGTTAAGAAATTTTACAAGACTTCATTAATTATTAATTAAATGGGGGGTAAGGATCAATCCATGACACCGGTGCTTTTTGATATTATATAAAGAACCAATTTAATCCAAAAACTTAAGCCCGCAGTGGTGAGGTTACGTTTCTTAAATTTCTTGCTCTCTGAATCACAGTAACTCAAATAAAGATTGTAACTTTTTTCCATTCTAAACATTTAAATTTAAATTGGAATGGCTCTGGGTGCACGCCATGTCTAATCATTTTATCTCCAGTGCTTCTGGGATTTGATGTCCATGGGGTAAGACCTAATGAAATTTGTTAGCTGGTATTGTCTTTATTCCACCTCTAGTCGAAGGAGTTCAATTAACTTTGACTAAAGACAATGCAATCTCGAATTTCCTGATTCTTCAGTTACAGAATTCCTTTAATATTAACTTACTAGGTTTCTGTCAGGTACAAGCCTGATGCAATCAACGGTGACATGGATTCAATTCGGACAGAAGTACTTGACTTCTATACAAAGCTGGTATTTCTATCTCGTTGTATGTTCATTTTTCTTTGGGGTGTGTGTGTGTGTGTAAGTGCTTATGCGCATGTAATGGAGAAAATGAGTTCCACATTCAACTTTCTGGTTTTCACAAATTAACATTTATTTATTTTTCTACATTTTACTTCTAACTATACAATCTTACATAAATTATGTCAAGGGTGAAATGCTAGTTTGCTGCCTGCAGGGAACTAAGATAATCGATGAATCTCATGATCAGGATACCACAGATTTACACAAATGTATAACATACATACGTAACCTCACACCAGATATTGATAAACCAAAAGTAAGCTTGCTCTCTAATTATACTTTTTTTTCTATTTTTTTTTTTTTTTTTTTTGGGGGGGGGGGGGGGGGGGGGGATTATTCTGATGACAAATTTAACTGTACGCTTTGTTTAGTACTGGAATAGTTGAAATGAATTGAGTCAGGTACAGTACAATCCTTATCTAAAGAACTGGCTATGTTCTAAGTGTATTTGATATGCCATTCCTTGAGTTTTTATGGAAATAAGTCGAGCCGGGCATACTTTATTGTTTTTTTAACCCTTCCTCATAACTTATTGGCAGCTATGCATTCTTGTTGCTGGAGCACTTGGCGGGAGATTTGACCATGAAATTGGAAATATCAACGTTCTGTGCCGTTTCCCTGACACTCGAATTATCCTTCTGTCTGATGATTGCCTCATTCACCTTCTTCCAAGGAACCACTGTCATAAGATCTTTGTTCAATCTTCTGTTGAGGGTCCGCATTGTGGACTTATTCCCATTGGGATGCCATCTGGAAGTTCTACAACCACCGGACTCCAGTGGGACCTTAGTAAGTATATATCATTACTTAATTATACATTAATACTGTTAGATGACCACTGTATCTTTCAATGAGCGTGATGATGATAATCTTTGCCTGTGATATGCCACCACAAAAATTGTGATTCTTATATTATGTGGCTGGTGCTAATATGTATATTGGATGGACTCAATTATCATATGATCCCAGTTAATAAAATAATACACTAGTTAACAGTGTACTAGAGAACACACTATATAAATATGATGCTGTTATGGTTCTGATGAATTCATTGTCTTTTTAATCACTCTGGTAATCTTGTTTGTCAAATGGAGCCGAATGTGTAATATCTTTTGTCTGTTTCAGATCACACGGAGATGAGATTTGGTGGTTTAGTAAGCACATCAAATATTGTAAAAGGAGATATAGTAACAGTACAGTCCGATTCAGATCTTCTTTGGACTATTTCTATCAAGAAGCCCTAGTTTTTTAGAAGTTACCTATTGTACTAATTTTCATATCTGTGATACATAGACTGGGGTGACATTCCATTTTAACGCCATTGCACTGCGTAACAGAGGGAAGGCAATTAGGCCTTCTTGATTTTTGTGAGGCATCTCTTCCATGGATTTCCTCCCACAAGAAATGAAATGCGATGTTTGAACTTTTGTAAAGTTTGTGTGTGCGCGTGTGAGTGTGGGGGTTGTTATGTTTAACATCACTAAACTAGAAATTGGTCTAAGCTACAATATCAAAAGAAGCTTTTCCCCCTTATTTACTAACACTAATACTACTTGTTTAGTAATATTTATATAAACTCATGTCACATTTAGCCTTCATGTTTACAAAATGTAAGTCGTAAGTATAACTAAAAAATCATTGAAAAATAGTAGTTCCTATTTTATCATTTTGATACTTACATAAAGTATACACATCTTGTCATTATGCACAGTTAGGTCAAAATATTAGATGCAATAAATTAAAATTAAGAAATTCAAAACAAATTATATAATACATAAAATATTGGGGGTTCTCTTTTCAGGTGAGATAGTATTTCTCGTGTTATAGATATAACAAGTTGTGAGGTCCACCGTTTGTTTTAAAAAAAAAGAATAGCATAGATTTTGATGTCTTACAACATAAGAAAGTAATTTTCTATTATATAAGAAAATGATTTCCTTAAAATATTATCATATAATACAAAAGGTTCGTTTGTTCTGCAGTTACTGCAGATAAATTATCTGCAGTAAGCCCAATTCGACGTCGTTTTGGGGCGGAAATTATGGTGTATTTGTAATTTTAATTTATTTCAGGGTTATAATAATTTTTATATTTATAATTTTTTAAAATTTCAATACCAAAACGACGTCGGTTTGAAAATAAATGCAGATAAGTTATCTGCATTAATTGCATAAATATTTTTCCCTAATACAAAATGTATTAGTTTATGCTTTGAAATCTTGCAGTTTATTACTAATTTTTGAGAAAGTTATGTTTTGAAGAATTCTGTGACCTTGGGTCAGATCATGTCAAACTCGACCCAAAAATTATATTTATTCTATTTTTTCTTATATATATAAAAGAATATGTAGAGCTATTCCATACTCCAAAATTGAGGAGGGAGAAAAATCAAGGTACATAATGGAGATGAAATAAGTTTCATCATGTATTTACTGCATCATATTTTGAATAATATAAATAATGATAATTAGAGTACGTTTGGTTTGCTAAAAATAAAGGATAATTATAATATATATATATATATATATATATATATATTATTTTATTTGATTATTTGAATAATATAAGTACTAGACAAAAATCAACTTAAGGAATAGCACAAATATCTAAATTTTTATTTTCAGCTTACAAAATCTTATTTAGAATTCAAAAAGAGAAACAAATCAATAATCCATAACCTTCCGGTATCTTAATTTTAATTTTCACAAAACCATTTGCCATACATAGGGTATAATAATAAATTTTGTGTTATTCTATTTATAGGTTTTGTAAAAAAATTTGTTATGTTTATTATTTATCAAACAGTTAACAACACAATAAATTATTATTACGTGGCTCAATTACTTATATTGTACTGTTTTGAATTTTGATTATATTGTGGCTCAATATACATCAAATGCGTCTCTAATATCATTCCATTCTATTCTATCCATTTCCATCAACCAAACCCAGCTTATAATAAATGTTAGCAACACTATTATTGAGTAAAATATCTTGCTGGTGATACAAGTATGCAACTAATGGAGTGTGAATCTAAATTATCCAATAACAATAATATTAGTTTTACTCAATAATAAAAAGAAATCAATAACATAAATCCAATCGCCTTATCCTCTTGGGTGTTATATTACTATGTTTATGAGTTATGACGGACATCAGAGAGTATTAGACAAAAATCTGATTAAAACGCAAAACCCTATGCCGTATTTGGAAAAAGATAAAAAAAAGATCAAACCCCAAACGTTATATTGTTTTCCGCTTTCTTATTGTATTTTTCTTCTCTGAAAAAGTTCCAGTTCCGTTCCCGCTTCAGTTTTGGCGGTAAACTTTGCAGGTTTCTGTCTCAAAATTGTGTGAGTTTCAGTGACTCTGATCACCGAGAAAACACTGCGACGGTTAATCGAGCGCGGGAAGCAGCAATGCGAGTTGAGTCTCAAATTATCAAACCTATCGATAAGGGAATCGTTCACAGAATCTGTGCAGGTCAAGTGATCCTCGATCTCTCTTCTGCGGTTAAGGAGCTTGTCGAAAACAGCTTGGATGCTGGCGCCACCTCCATCGAAATCGCTCTCAAGGACTTCGGCCAAGAATGGTTTCAGGTCACCGACAACGGTTGCGGCATTTCCCCCAATAATTTCAAGGTATTATTATTATTATTATTGTTATTTTTATTATTGCGGCATCTTAAAACCATGAAGAAAAAAAAATTGCATTATGGTTTGAGCTTATTTACCTTTTTTTTTTTTTTTGGGATTTTGAATGATTGCAGGTTCTTGCACTCAAGCATCATACTTCAAAGTTAGCGGAATTTCATGATCTTCAGTCTCTAACCACTTTTGGCTTCAGAGGAGAGGCGTTGAGTTCCCTTTGTGCTTTGGGGAACTTGACTGTTGAAACAAGAACACAGAGTGAGCCTGTTGCAACGCACTTGACTTTTGACCATTCCGGTTTACTGGTAGCGGAAAAGAAAACTGCACGACAAATTGGTACCACTGTCACTGTTAAAAAGTTGTTCTCTAATTTGCCTGTCCGAAGCAAAGAGTTTAGTCGTAATATACGCAGGGAATATGGCAAGTTACTCTCTCTGTTGAATGTGAGTCTCTATTTTCTTAGAGGCCGAAGAACCATTTTGAATAACCTAGTGTAGTCAATGGTACTGAGATTATCAAGTAAGCACCAGAAGGGTTCGGGTGTATGCCCTTTCTGGGTCTGTCCAGGAATGCCTTATTGGTAACTGTAAAAAAAACCCCAAAAAGTCTAGCCATCTAACTGCCATGCCTTTCTGTGCTTTTGGTTTATTTTATTTTATTTTATTTTTCTCTTGAAATCCTTGCATTTTTTTTCATGTTTCAATGTGTTTTTCTCTTCAGGCATATGCCCTTATAGCAAAAGGTGTCCGTTTTATCTGCACCAACTCAACTGGCAAAAATGTAAAGTCCGTGGCACTTAAGACGCAAGGAAGTGATTCTCTTAAAGATAACATCATAACAGCGCTCGGCACGAACACTTTTAGTTGCTTAGAGCCCATGGCATTATGTATATCTGATGGTTGCAAAGTTGATGGTTTCGTTTCCAAGTCTGGACATGGTAACGGACGCAGTTTGGGAGACAGGCAGTATTTTTTTGTAAATGGTAGACCAGTGGATATGCCTAAAGTAGGCAAGCTTGTGAATGAGTTATATAAAGCTGCAAACTCTAAACAATATCCCATTGCAATCTTGAATTTTACAGTTTCTACAAGAGCGTACGATGTTAATGTGACTCCTGATAAGAGGAAAATATTTTTTTCTGAAGAAACTGCCCTATTGCAAGCCCTGAGAGAGGGTTTACAACAAATTTATTCTCCTGGTAATGTATGTTATTCTGTTAATGATGTTGAGCTGCCTGCTGCGGAAGAAGACTGCGTTGAGTTGTGTTCGTCTAATAGGAAGTCTCCTATCATAGTGAAACCATCGTCCCCAAATGGCAGTCTTCTTCAAGAAGAGCATTACACTGAGTGCAACATTGGTAATATTTCTCATGGTGAGCATAAGGAGAAACATATTACTGATTCTGAAAATGCTTATGAATCTGTTAATGAAGATCAGTCTTCACATGTTGAAGAAGGGTTAATCTGTGAGGATGATGGGAGTTTAATGGCCCAGGAGTTCACACTCAGAGCACACAGCACTTTAAAGGATGATAAGAGTAGAAGACAGTCAGCATGTACGGGTAGTATTATACTTGATCAAGCTACTCTTGTCTCTAGGAAAGTTGAGAGTTGGGGCATTTCTAACAAGGATTCATATAATCATTCAAGACATGTTCAGTCAACTCTTAACAAATTTGTTACTGTAAATAAAAGAAATCGTGATAGCATCGTTACAGCCTTATCTGAGGTGCCTGTCCTTAGAAAAGCTCCTCATTGTCAACTGAAGACTGCAAATACTGAAACACATGACTTGGTTACCCGACAATCACTTTATTTTGACCAAATTGATGAAACTGATAAGGCGAGTCAGATTGAATCTTTGCAGCAACTTAATTCTGATAACATCATCCACAAAAATGAAAATGCAATTTCTTTCAGAGGTGAATCTACTGATGGAGAAACTAAAATGGTATGTGGGTTTGCAGTCAAACATTCCAAAAATTAGTTTAAATTGCTAAAATTTCATATATCTATTATTTTAGTTCTTGAAACATAGTATAGCATGTGACTACTATATATTGATTTATAAAATTGTAACATTTTATCATTAATAGTGGCGTTTCTTGAATTTCTTTTTGGGATCACTTAAAGTTTTGAGTAGGAAATCAGATAATAATAATAAAAAAAATAACTCAGCACAGTATTAATGTCTTTATCTCGTATTGATTGTGCATTTATATGTTGCTTGGTCAATCCTCCTTTTCTTTGTATTACTTCTTTCTTTCCAGTAAAATTTCTTCTTTTATCCAAAATGAAAGGGAAAAAATAGTTAAAAATAAAATTTCTATTTTCTCTTACTTAGTTTTCATATATGCATGTGCTGATTTACAGGATTTAGATCAACAGAATAATACATCTCTAGCTGATACAGCATCAATTGGTCCATCTAGCAATGATCTGATCAATACTACAAAGCATGTTTTGGTCTCAGACCCCCCGTTACATTCTTCGCCTGTACAGTTAGATTCTTCCAAGTCTTCTGGTCAGAAGATACGCTCCAACATGCAATTTTCTTTTCAAGACCTTAAGAAAAGGAGAGAGAAGAGGATTTCTATGTTGCAATCCAATAGATGTGGAAAAGCTAATGTCAAAAGGTTTTTTCTTTTACAGTAGCCTTTGTATGAAACAGGAAAATCATATATGTGCTGACTTTTTCTCATAATTATTTCTAGTTGCTATACGGCTGCAACTTTGGAGCTTTCACAACCAGAAATTGAGGGGCAGAAAGAAAGGGCTTTAGCAGCTGCAGCTACCGAACTGGAAAGAATTTTCAAGAAGGAAGACTTCAGCAGAATGAAGGTTGTTAGTATGCTTTATATTTCCATTTTGTAAACTTGCAATACCATTGCTAGTTCTTTTATCTTTTCATTATGGAAGGCTTGGCTTTGTGTAAATGACATACTTGTTGCTATTTTTGTGAAGGGTTTTTCTGTGCTGTTTTTTGTTTGCTATCTTAGTAAGTGGTGAAACTAAGCTGTTTAGGCTTTTCGGTTTTTTTCTCCATCATAAAACCCGAGTCATTTTGTTTTTGGAATACATAGGCCGCATTATCATGCCAAAATTACATTCAATCCTTTTTCTGCTGCCTGATCATACTTGCGCTTTCAGATTACATATATACTGTAATCACTTGCTGGTTACTTAGACACCATATTTTAACAGGTCATTGGGCAATTCAATCTTGGATTTATCATTGGTAAATTGGATCAAGATTTATTCATTGTGGATCAGGTAATTTCCAATATATTTTTTGAGACTAGTGAATCTGTAGTGTCTTCCACCATCCTCTTGAATGATTGATCCATATAAATGCATCCTTTTGCTAATTTTCAATTTCATTTTTTTAACAAAACATAATTTGTAATGGTGAATATTCTATTTCCAGCATGCTGCTGATGAGAAATACAATTTTGAGCATCTATCGCAATCAACCATCTTGAACCAACAGCCTTTGCTTAGGTGAGGAGTTCATATCATTGTTCACTTACAATCATTATACATATATAATTCTGTTTTTTTATTTTATTTTATTTTATTTTTCTGGACTGGGGGGGGAGGGCGGACACTGTCAATAACATGGTACAAGGGAATTACTTATTCTGATGCCAACTTGAGTTCAAAGTTAGTGTGTGCTTAGAGGATAAACTTTGATTGTTAATCACAATGATAAACTTTAATTTTTAATCACAATTACCATAAAAGGATGATATATTTTCTACATTACCCAGATGGAACATAAAAACGTAATTTATCTCTTTTCTTCATTTGTTCATGATCTAAATCCTCCCAATAAAAATTGCATATGTAGGCCCATAAGATTGGAGTTATCCCCTGAAGAAGAAATAGTTGCTTCAATGCACATGGACGTAATCAGGTATAAATAGAGCCATGTTGATTAAGTCAGGTGACTTGTTCATTTTACTTACTTTAGGTTATTGTGAGAAACTAGATTTCATTAACAGGATCCTGATATCAATCATACTGTTTATGTTTCCTGTTTGCTATAGCCAATACAGAAATATTGCTGCACCATTATTTCTTATTTACTTTCTCATTTAATTAATTTGATTGTCATAATGAGTTGCAGCACACTGTCAAAAATGATCATATTGATTATCTATCTATGCATATTTCAGAATCTTTTTTAAATAGTAATAGTGATCTAATGTCACCCTAAAAAAATCATTTGTTGATGTCCCAGTCATGATTTTTTCTACTACCAGCATGGAGATATCTTTGATGGCCCACTTGAGAGCTGTGCTCAAAATACTGTTGCTGTACAATGTTAATTCTAAGTCAATTCAATGGTTGACCTAGACTGCCTTAATTGGTAATGAACAGAAGTTTCAGCCACTAAGAGCAAAGATATTTGAGAAATTCAGGCATATGTATATTGGATTTATTTTATGTTTGATATTGTTAATTAGATCCTTAATCAGGTTAAGATGCAGCTGTTATTATGTTCTTCTTTCTCCTATTTTCTGAGGATTTGACTATTATTACAAGATTTGATACACTTAAACCATCAAGTAACTTACAGATTTTGATTTTTGTATCGTATATTTGAAAAGTATAACGTACATCAATTGTAAGATGCATTTGTGAAGTGCTGAGAAAAGAGAATGTGTCTATTCGGAAATTGCTAAGTGAGCAAAGCTTGAGTGGCATGTTTGAACAAAAGTCAAAGCTGTGAACTTTGAGCTTGAGAGCTCCCAAATTATTTAACTAGCTGTTTCCTGTAAGCTAGTATCTTTAATTGTGGTTGTGATGTGTCTGCTATGATTGCTGCATGTACATTAGAAACTAAAAATCTGCATAATCACTGAAAGGTTGTCTTGTGCTTAGGAGTACACCAGTAATGTTTGACGTAGTTCCTCTTGCAGTATTGGTTACTTTTGTCTATGGAGGTTTGATTGAAATTGATTTCTAGTTTTAAAATTTTGTGCTGTTGTCTTGTTTTTTTGTATCTTCATTTGCATTATCTCCATCTTCAGGAAAAATGGATTTACTTTGGAAGAGGATCCAAATGCACCGCCCAGATGCCGTTTTAAATTAAAGTCTGTTCCCTTCAGTAAAAACACTATATTTGGAATTGAAGGTATTATCTTTGAATTTTGTGGATTTTATTATGATTCGTTTAGGGATTCTGTTGGTTTATATGTGATCAAGTAAAACCATCTTGTTTGCATTTGATATGTAATTTTAAGTCCATGATACTGCTTTTATTTTCAATTTTTGTATTCGTACTGGGAGATGGTTCAGGCCAAGCTGGAAAGTCTATTTAACTGACATGGGTCAAGTTGATATATGATGCAATGTGATGAAGCATGCTATTAGTATCAAGAAGAAAATTTAAGATTAACAATTATGTAGGTTTTTCATCTTCTCATGGCCTTGGTACTTCAAAACAGATACTGAAGAATAGTTAACATCTAAATCTACAATTCATAATAGATTCAATATCTTTTGGCATGAACATGCTTTAGGATGCATAATTGACATTCGCATTGTGTTTAAACATTAGAGAAGCCCTCAGTTACTGTAAAGGTCTGTTGTGCCTGCTTCACCTTAGAAATCATTATGATGCACTTGCTAGTGCCCTTTGAATTGAGATCTTGTTCATTCCATGATACCAAAATTTTGTTCTATTTTTTCGAATATACCCTAGTGCATAAGCTTTGATTTAAAGATTGACACACACATTTGAATATTGTGAACGTGTAGGGCAATTCTTCTTGTGCCTAATCATTCTTTTTAGAGATTTTGTTTAATCAGAGGGAATTACTTGCTCATCAAATGATGTATTGAAGACTTTCATTAAAAAAAAAATGATGTATTTCAGTGATTAATGATGAGCATTTTTCCCAACAGATGTTAAGGAGCTGATCTGTACCCTGTCTGATGATCATGGGGAATGTTCCATTGTTGGTAGTTATAAACTGGACACCTCAGATTCTATCTGCCCTTCAAGAGTTCGGGCAATGTTGGCATCACGTGCATGTCGATCATCAATTATGATTGGTGATGCACTTGGAAGAAATGAAATGCAGAAGGTAGTAAAACACATTACTTTTAGCACTGCCCCCTCCCCTTCATTAAGAATAAAATTGCAGAAGTGGAATGAGAAGCATCTGGTTTATTGGACCCTACATCTAAAAAAATTTAATTTAAGAATTTTCACCCTCACAAACTGAGTTTGTAGCTTACTCTAATTGTTTCAGATACTCGAGCATTTGGCTGAGCTGAAATCGCCATGGAATTGTCCTCATGGCAGGCCGACCATGCGCCACTTGGTCGACTTGACAAAAATTCACAAGAGGTCAGAGCTAACCTTGCAGATGTAATTAAGAGTGGATTTTTACTCCAATCGCCGTTGCTATATTGGAAGTTGAGGGAATTATGTAACTTATTCTGGAGGGGGGATATTTTGACTACCAAAAGTATCCACTATCACCTTACTACCTATCAAATCACCATTGGATCAAAGAGAGAGAATGTTAAAAAGTTTTTGAAGAGAGAGAAAATGTTAATCCAATGGTGATTAGATAGGTAGTAAGGTGGTAGTGGAAACTTTTGGTAGTCAAAATATCCTCCCTCCTTATTCTGTATAAATACCATGTACAAAATATTAGTTCTGTAATGTTATAGAGTCTGGATGTGTTGAGTGTCTCCGGCAACAGTGGCAAAGTGCCACTGTTGAAAAAAAAAACACCAAAATGCTACGCCAACAGTAAATTTTGTCAAAATGTCACGTGGCATATTTCGCTACATTGTGTAGCGAAATATGTGTGCAAATAATTCGCTACACGATGTAGCAAAATACCACGTGTCAGACAGGGAGAATTTCACTACACTGTGTAGCGAAATTCTCCCTGTTTGACACGTGGCATTTTTGATTCTGACGTGGCATATTTCGCTACACCGTGTAGTGAATTATTTGCACACATATTTCGCTACACAGTGTAGCGAAATATGCCATGTGGCATTTTGACAAAATTTACTGTTGGCATGACATTTTGGTGTGTTTTTTTTTGCCAACAGTGGCACTTTGGCCACTGTTCGGTGCATGAGCATGCTTGATGTGCTGAGCTTCTCACCGGACAGTCTTCCTGCTTGACATTGCCTTACTTTGCTAATGGTCTGCTGCACAACTTTCAAGCCTTCCTGCCACTCTAGTCTTCCTCCTTAGCACTCGCTTTGGTTTTGGATGTTACATTGACCCTTTGATAGTGTTATTTTTATTTATTTATTTATTTTATTGGGAGAGGTTATATTTACTAACTCTTTTTTTCTACTTCTTATTACTAAATCTTAAACGTTGATTTTCATCAATCTAACAGTTATAATTTATTGAAATTAATAATTAATTAATAAGTATGACTCAATAAATTACAATCGTTAGATTGACGAAAATTAATGGTTAAGATTTAGTAGTAAAATATAATAACTATAACCTCTCTCTTATTTATTTATTATTATTAATTTGTGTTTGTGTGTGTTGTACTACTTATTTTTGTTTCTGGTAAATCATTTTAAATAAGGAAGGCATCTGTATTATGTAATCAAAATAAATGATAATATAATATTTAAAATTAGAGGACTTTTAAAAGATTTTCCTGAAGACTACTTCCCTTTTTTGAGCTAAGTGGAATGCTTTGTACTTAGAAGGACTAATAAACTCTGGGCTATTTGAATTTCGTTTAGAAAACAGTTTTTTAATTTTTAGAATAAAAAAACTTATTTGATGATATTTGTTTTGTAAAACAAGTTCTAAAAATTATAACTAATTTTTAGTTTTTAGAATTAAATTTAGGAAATATGGGTGTTTGATTGTGTTTTGAATTTTTTGTTCTTAAAACTGTTTTGTAGAATAATTAATGTTTTTTGTTTTTGTTTTGAAAGTTAAAAGTCAAAACAAAAACAAAAGTAATTATTAATTTATTATTTTTTGAAAGTTAAAAATCAAAATACAAAACAAAAATAATTCAAATATGTTCTCTAAATTTGATTCTAAAAATAAAAGATAGTTACAATTTTTAATTTTTCTTTTTACAAAACAGTGTTAACTAATCAGGTTTTTTTGTTTTGAAAATCAAAATCTATTTTTCAAAAAAGATGTCAAACATGCTCTATATTTTAGTTGTTTTTGTTTTGTATTTTAATTTTTAACTTTCAAAATAAAAAAATACATAAATTCCTATTTCATCAACTATTTTACATAATAGTTTTAAAAACACACACACACACACAAAAAACATTATCAAACAAGTCATCTATTTCTAAATCTTCCAGTTTCTTTTAGGTGATTTTTTCCAATTACGTTTTTAAATTATTTAGGATGGACTTTGCTATGATACAGTTCTTTTGAAGTATGCATACTTTTAAAAAAAAATAAAAAAGAAGAGAATTGTTTAATGAATATTTTAAATTGTTTTATTATCGGTTTTTTTTGGTACAAATTTTATTATCGGTTTAAGTCCTGCACTTTCGAGTCCTATAATATTTTACCATTGCGAACACTAAATGGTTGTCACTTTTTTCCTTCTTAGGTGAAGTTCGCGCAGTCGGCTACTAGCCTATCACCTTTATGCATTTTACTCTGTTAAATAAGATCTTATGTATATAATAATAAGTTCTTCTGAGAATTCAATCATGCAATTAGATGATATAAACATTCTAATGGACCCTGCAGTTAAATATTGACGCAAATAAATTGATAAATCATAAAATCAGTTTCCAATAAGTGACCTTGTAAAAGCAAAAATAATAATAAGTAGAAAGAAATTTTCAGCATTTCAATTCTGCAGGCCGCCACTCTAATATCAATTGTAGTTTTACTTTGCATACAAACATTATGACTGATCGACAATCAATAAATAGTATCGTGGTCGGAACACCGATTAAAATGTCACTGTTCATCAACTTTTTTACCTAAATGTCACGCGAACAGTATTATTTTCCAATATGTCACGTGGACAAGTTCGCTGGGTACCGTAGCGAACTCGATTTGCTGACGTGTCACGTTTCTAGTGGACACTGAGAGTAGCAAACTTGGTTGGAATGTATAATTGGAAAATGTGACATGCAAAAGAAAATGTAGTCTACAAGCCAAACAAAGCCTTGTATGGCCTCAAACAATCACCCATGGCATGGTTTGGTAGATTCACATTAGCAATGAAGAAGTTTGGGTATAAGCAAAGTAATTCAGATCATACATTGTTCAAAAAGCATAATAATAGAAAGGTGGCCATACTCATTGTGTATGTGGATGATATGGTGTTAACAGGTGATGATGTGGAAGAGATGAAGTTACTTGAAAAGAGGTTAGCTGCTGAATTTGAAATGAAGGACCTAGGTCAATTAAAATACTTTCTTGGAATAGAGATTGCAAGATCCAAACAAGGCATATTTCTGTCACAAAGAAAATATATTTTGGACCTCTTAGCCGAAACTGGAATGTTGGCTTGTAAGCCAACTGATACTCCAATTGAGATGAATCACTCCCTTGCGGTGTACCCAGATCAAGTTGAAATAGATAAGAACAGATACCAGAGGTTAGTATGAAAATTAATTAATTTAACACATACTAGACCTGACATTGCCTATTCTGTGAGCATTGTGAGTATGTTCATGCATTCTCCTAGTGAAGAACATATGAATGCAGTGTGTCGCATCCTGATAATGAATATTTTATTGCATTTATTTATCACTCTTTATTAGTATTTTAGGAGTATTTGGAATGAAAATAATGGTCTTTTGGGTTAAATTAGATTTCTGGTTGTTTATTAGGTTTAATTTATTTTCGTCATTAATTTTTAACTTTATTTTACTTTAGTATTTTGACCATATCTCACTCCATAGGTGTCTGATTGACTCCGTTCATATTGAGTTTTAAAGATAACTCAAAGGGCTACAAGTTCTATGAAGACAAGAAAGCCCAATTCAGACAGGAAGATGGTCGAAATCAGAGCCCAAGTCAGAAACAAGTTGCTGAAATTTTATTGATTTAAATTTGTAATTAGAACCCAATTTTGTTGAGGCCTAAAGCCATTGTTTCAGTTCTGATTTTGTTTATTTTATTATTGTGGACCAAAATTAGTTGAACCCTAACTCGGTTGTGATGTGGGTTAAAAGGGTTCGTTTAGGAAACTTGTCGGCAGTCTTCATTCGAGAGTTTGTACGACCGACAAATTGTCTCTGTAGATTAATCTACAATTTCTGTCCTTCTTCTTCATATTTTCTTCTTCTTTTTAATTTTTTAATTATGTTTACTTTAACTATGCGAGGCTAAGAACCTTTAATCAACCTAAGGGTAATGGATTCCATGGAAGAGACTAGAGGATCTGAACTTTTTCTTTTAAATCAGATTCGTTTCTCTTCCAAACTCAGATTGATATCGTACGATTGTGGATATTCAATCTGAGATTCGCGATTGCGATTATGGAAAGAGATTAATCATCAGATTTGGTGATTAGATTGATTAGCCCTATAACCTTAAGTCAAACGGGCTAATACTCTGCGATTGTATGAGGAGAAGCACCGTATTTGATCAAATGCTAAGCGATCGCTTAGGGAGGGTTCTCAATTGAAGACAAGGATTCTGATTCAATTGAGATCAATCACGATTCTGGTATCTTTTTATCCGAGGAAAGACGTCCTAGGAATCCTAACCTTAGGTTGGTTATTTTAATTACGAATTTCAATTTCCAATTTTTATGTTCTGTTTTAATTCTTATTCAAAGCGAACAAAAATCCCCTTTTTATTTTCTATTTTAATCTGCGATTTTAATTTTAATCCTTGTGATTTCCTTGAGAGACGACTCAGGTTGACGCTCTTTTACAAATTTTAAGAAACTTGATTTTATTAATTTGCGCGAGTTCGACAACTCGTGTCACATCCTTAGATATCTCAAAGGTTCACCACGAAAAGGCTCTTATACTCTAAAAATAATAAAGCTGGTATTGAAGGATACACTGACTCAGACTGGGCTGGAGATAAAATCACTGGGCAATCAACTTCAGGGTATTTTACCTTTGTAGAAGGAAACTTAGTCACATGGAGAAGCAAGAAACAAAAGGTAGTAGCAAGATCAAGTGCTGAGGCTGAATATAAAGGTATCACTTATGGTATTTGTGAATTACTATGGACTAAAAGCATCTTAATATACTTGGGAATCAGATATGATGAGCTTATGAACCTATATTGTGATAATAAAGTTGAGAGATTGCTCATAATCCAGTTCAGCATGATAGAACAAAACATGTTGAAGTAGATAAGCACTTCATTAAAGAAAAGCTAGATGAAAAAAATGTTCGAACTCCTTATGTACGGTCTGAAGATCAACTTGCGGATGTATTGACCAAAGCTGTATAAGGAAGAGCCTTTGAAGAAATGATTGGCAAGTTGGGCATGATAGACGTTCATGCACCAACTTGAGGGAGTGTTGAAAGAAAGTTTTTGAATTTAAAATATTGTTGCTTTGGATAAGAACCAAGTTGTTTGAATGTAATCTGGTTGTTAGCATTTTGTGTAAATAGGATTAAATTGTTAGGTTGTTTCCTATTGTTATGGATTGTTATATCCACTTGTATAAATAAACCTCATTCGGGAGGAAGAAATATGAATGAAAGCATATGTTTATCCATGGTATTGAATTTTAACATATACGAATCTTGGGAGAACCTCATCCCAAAAGCTAGCTCATGAGATAAGAATGAGGATTATTGGGGCTAGGGCAAAAAATAACCCTACCATATGTGGGCTGAAAAAAGAGGCTAAAAATTGGGGTTGTATGGCTAGCTTGTGGGCTCAGGCCCATTTTGACATCTCTATCCATACCCTTTACATGGTATCAGATCTTTCTTGATCCATGAAGAACCTAACGCAATCCTAGCTGCATTTTTTTCCAATCCAACTTCCTTATGTGGAAGCAACAAGTCATGGCCACCATCAAAGGATTTAATCTACAAAGATTCTTTACAGAAGAAGTTGATCAGCCATAAGTGCAACAAGATCAGCTACTGATGTCGTGGTTACTCTCTTCAATGTCAGAATCGCTGCACTCAAGGATGATAGGGTGTCAATCTTCCTATTAAATTTGGTGCAAACTCGAAGAATTTTACACTTGGCAAACAAGAGCCAAAGTGAAGCAGTTAAAGATCCAATTGCGGAACACTAAAAAGGATACAACCGTTTCAAAATACTTGCTGCAAATCAAGAAGATAGTTGATTCTTTAACAGCCACCGGTTTTCCAATTTCAATTGAAGACCACGTAGATGCAATTCTTGATGGACCCTAGAGGACTATGATCCATTTGTGACTTCTGTTACCTCAGGGTCAGATCCTTATTCAGTAAGTGAAATCAAAGCAAAGAATTAATAAGCATAAGAAAACTAAAGTTGGAGAACTGCAAGCCAACAAAAGAGGACGTGACAATAACAGAGGTGGCAGGTATGCTGGAGAAACATTTCTGGACGATCAAATGGTAAACCTCAATGTCAAGTTTGTGGTAAATTTGGACACATAGGCTGGAAATGCCATAATCGATTCAGTCAAGTTTGTGGTATATTTGGAAACATTTCTGAACAAGGTCTCTATGCCTTTGAAGGAGTAAAAACTCTTCATGCTCCTAAAGATTACTCTGCTTATCAAGTTGCTGTTGGCCTAACGAAAGCTGTGTCAAAGCCCATATTCATAGAGTTCATAAACAAGCTCCGACTCTCCAATGTTGCTTGCGGGTGATGAAAGAGTAGTAACTAAGTAACTAGTTATTAGATAACAAACTCTTAACTATTCTATTATAACTGTATTGATCACGTTCACTATGTATGCATCAGGTCTATAATGTATTGTAGATTGCCTATGTATTGTACTGTTGTGATATATAATCCCACATTGGTTGTAAGTGCAACTAATGTAGAGTTTATAAGGTCTTGGGCACTCCCACCCTTTGAGTTAGCTTTTGGGGTGGTGTATCCCAAGGTTCTTTACATGGTATCAGAGCCTTGCCGCCCCCTACTTTCTCTTGTGGCGTTTCTTAGCACAGGTAGGCTGAGCCTGTTGCATTGTCCACTCTTCAAGCCCAACGGGCTCTCGTGTGAGGGGGCGTGTTGAGATATATAGTCCCACATTGGTTGTATGTGCAACTAATGTAGAGTTTATAAGGTCTTGGGCACTCCCACCCTTTGAGCTAGCTTTTGGGGTGGTGTATCCCAAGGTTCTTTACATGTACTATCTGTATTAATTAATTGATTCACTTTTCACTCTTAGCTATACCTTTACAGGGTGAAGTATTATATTATACATCAATGTTTCGACAAGTGTAACCCATCGCCAGTGGAGAACGAGAAAATTTAAGCAATGGAAACAGATTATTAAGGATAACAGCCACACCTAAGTAAAAATCTGTTAAATATTTATATTTATATACATAAAATATAATAATACAAAATAATGAGCTCCATTTTGATCTATTTTTACTTTATTAGTATAAATTACTTGTATATTAATTTAATGGAAAAGTTCAAATACTCCATTGGTTTGCCTTTGAATTATTTACCACCCTGTGTTTTTTTTTTTCATCCAAGTCCTTTCTTAATAGTATTAAAGTTTTTAATCAATATATCTATTTTACTGTTTTGTTGAAATTTTAAATAGTAAAATGGATGTGGTGACAACTATTTATGCAAAAGGTAGCAGCCAAAATATTAAATTCTTGAAAAAGAGACTTGAAGCTCATTTGATATTTTATTTAAGTTAAAAATTACTTTAAAACTAAAATTAAAAAAAAAACTAAAAACTATTTGTTGATTTTATAAAGTTATTACAGTAATTTTGAAAAGGGATGATAAAATAATTTATTATTAGAATTAATTATTAGGATAAATGATAAAATTTATATACACAAATTTAGAATAAAAGTAAAACTGTAAAATAAATTAGGTGTTAAAAAACTGACATACATTACAAGGAAAAAAGCTTCTTTTTGGAGCTTAGAACTGACAGGAGACATTCAGATATGGGTGGTTGTGCACTGTTACAACAATTATGGGTCTGAACCAGGTTCCCGACTATCTCTCCTCCACTCCCTGAGGTCATCGATGAGTATGCCATTTATAGAGCGAGGTATGTATCCTTTGACTATGTCACTTGTTCCTCTTTTCGTCCTTTTTATTGTTTATATTGTTGTTTGTAATATAATATATTATCATAAATGCAGGTTTAACAGTTATGATCAGCGCCAGGCTGTGTTTAATCACATTCGCAGGTACCGACATCATATGGACGTGATGCGTAGACGACAGTGTCGTTGGAGACCATACCTGGGCTTGACCCATAATGTACCTCCTGCAGACACTGCCCGCAGATGGATTTCAGTTTGTCCACTAATTTGTTATCAGATCGTTGTTTACTAGCAGCCCGATAGAGTTCTTCATCAACCTCACTGTCCGGAACAAGACCTTGATCAACCTCTTCCTCGGAACTATCGGTACACCATGATGGATCGTACATGTCGTGGACTGGCAAGCTTTCATCAAACAATTGTTGAGTTTGTGGTGCAAGCGCGGGGGACGCGTCCTCATCTTCCGGATTAACCACTGGCACCATGTTTATGTAGATGATGTCAGTGGATGGTGGAGAAAGTTGACTGCTTGATTGTCCACCACAGTTGACTTCTGCATAAAATTCAATAAATCTTGACTCGCCGTGTTCTGAAGTGCTTGCATCTACTACTAACGTTACATCGTCATCTTCAACAATTTCGACACCAACCCATTGCACGGGGTTACCAGAGGCACACCTAGCAGTCAATCGAGCAAGAGTTTGACCACGTTGTAATCTCAACTTCTTGTAGATTATCTTCTTAAGCTCGTGAAGATTGCATGTTGGGCTCATGCGAAACATTTTTGCATCACCTTCAAAAACTTGCCCGTTTGGTCCAAAATATCTTCTCCCATTATAATAAACTGTGGCGATTACATCATTCCTACCCTCACTCATCTTACAAAAGTAGAGAATAAACTAACATTCACAAAAGATAACACAAAAGTAGTAATGTTTGTATATAAATGACAAAGTTTCGCACTCAGAGTCCGTTCCTGAAATGGAATTGAGCTGATTTATAGTAATAAAGTTCGCTACATGGGGTACCACTTTATGCAACATAATTCGCTATGCCCCCTAGCGAATTACTAGGGGGCTGACACCTGTCCATTATCAGTCAGAGCGGTCCCTAACTCGCTATGATTCATGACAAAATAAGTACATAATTCGCTAGGCAGTACAGCGAATTTTGGGGATACTGACACGTGTCCTGACAATGACTGGACAGGACTGGCAATCTGACATGTACTTCGCTGCAAGGTATAGCGAATTATGGGAGTTGTGACACGTGTCCGACAAGAGACTGCCATGACTGACTCCTGGTCAACTTAATTCGCTACACACCCCAGCGAATTACTCCAGAGTTGACACGTGGCATTCTTGCTGACGGGGCAATCTGACCTGGCATAATTCGCTACACAGTGTAGCGAATTATCACGCGTGGTAGTTTGGAAAATTTTACTGTTCGCGTAACATTCTGGTAATTTGTTTGCCAAAGCGTGACACATTGGTCACTGTCCCCATCTGCCTATCACACGCGGCTTATCCTACGGATCAAACTCCATTTTTCCATCGCATGGAACTTGATAACGCTTATCACCTAAAAAAGGAGTTTGATAAACAATTTACGTTTTTATGTAAACATTTTTTATTTATCTAATGAAAAGAATTTGACTTTTAAAATAATTTTTATAATTAAATTCTTTTAATGATGAGTGATAGTGTAAATATATTTTTGATATATAAAAGGGTTTAAGTTTTCTTATGATGTATAAAAGATTGTAGGAGAAAACCGAATGGGTACAGCTCAGTTGGTAACTTGGCGCTGAGTTAGTGGGGTTGAATATGTGTTTGATTCCCGCTGAATGCATCCTTGGGGAGGGGGCTGAACCTTTAGCCATCACTGTTCCCTCGCACTCCGGATTAGTCCCATAGCCGGCTCAAAGAGTCGAAGCTCGTGGGGATACCGAAGGGAGCCAACTCGTCTCAAAGAGATAATTAGGGTTGGGTAACTCCAAAAAAAAGATTGTAAGAGAGAAAAAAAGTAGTGAGAAGTTAAATGTGGGTCCCATATTTTATATTAAAAAAGAAAAGAAAAATTAATTGGCACGAAAAATGAATTTATGTAGGAAAATGAATTTGCGTAGGAAAATGATTCTCTTATGTAGCATGAGAGTATTATTTCCTATATAAAAAACTAATTTTGATTATTTAATTCCTAATGTTTCAACGATTATTTATTCAGGATTTTATAATTTATTTTTCAAAAAAATTACAATTGCAGAAAAGTTTGAAAATGATTACAGTTCTATCTTTTTCAAAATTAACGATTGAAAAATAAAATAAAATAAAATTAACTACTGCTAATTTCAAATTAATTCAATAATAATCAAATAAGTTATAAGAATGATAAATCTAAAATTGTGGTAAGTATAACCACTCTATCTTATTATCAACTTATTTTTTTTTTAGATACAAACTTATCTTCTTTTATCTACCAAAAGAAAATAAATTTATCTTCTTTTAAATTTTGAAATTTAATTTGTAGTTTTAATTTTAATCTTTAGTAACTGATTTCGTTATAAATAAGACGATTGACAAAGAAAATTTCACATTATACGGTAGTAGTTCATCGAGTCCTTGACAACATAGGAATAAGATTCATTGAATAGCGTAGGTAGAAGAACCATAAGGAAAGTAAGCAAGAGCCAACAGTGACACATACCATCGACCTCTTCCTCTTCGCTTTCATTCCTTAAATCAACGACAAACACTACTTCCGATTCACGACATGGTATGTCTCTGCTTCTCTCTATCTATCTATCTCTTTCTTTGTTTGCCCTCGTTTATATCTTTTAGCACAAACAATGAATGGATGGATACCTAGATCTCATCAAGTTCATTCCTTTTTCTCTAATACAATTTTTTACCCCAAAACTCAATACTTAATAGGTTTTAATTCCCCCTCTCTAATCATACAACTAGGGTTTGTTACTTTTAGGGTTTGCATTCACTGGCAAATTCTGCCACCGTTCTCTCACTATTTATTATTTGCTGCAGTTGCCCCTTTCCTTGCTCAAGACTGCCCAAGGTCATCCAATGGTGAGTGAAGGCCTTTTTTTTATTTTACCTTATATATATTATATAACTTGTGTTAATACTATTTGATTTTTTAGCTTGTGATTTTATTCTTATTATTATTTTTGTGACATATTGTATCAGTTGGTGGAACTGAAAAATGGGGAGACTTATAATGGCCATTTGGTTAATTGTGATACATGGATGAACATCCATCTCAGAGAAGTCATATGTACCTCTAAAGTAATGTTCTTTTCTCAGCCCTCTTTGTTTTCATTATTATTTGTCATTTGTTGTCTGTTACAACTTACAATGTTTGATTGAAATTGGCAATGTAGGATGGAGATAGATTTTGGCGTATGCCTGAATGCTACATTCGAGGCAATACCATTAAGTACCTTCGAGTTCCTGATGAGGTGTGTAGTGGTGGTTCAGTCTTTTTTTACTCTTTCAGTGAATAGGTTGAGCACTTTTTAGTGAATGTCTTAAGCTCTTAGCCTTACATAGATTCATCAACTAATCTTGCTTTTCTGCCTGTTGATTTAGGTTATTGACAAAGTCCAGGAAGAAACCAAAAGCCGTGCTGGTAAGCCTTGTTTTGACATCTAGCTGGTTGTTCATGTTGATATTTAAATTGACTAGGTGATCTAAGGGGAAAATTAAATAAATAAATAGATAAAAGACGTATTGGTATTCTTGTCATAGTAAAGATGCATTTTGCGCATTGTTTTGTTCATGTTAAACCTAACAGTTTCAGAGTAAAACTTGTTTCTTTTCGAGATCAGAAAATAACTGTTTCATCACTGGGAATGAGTCATTATTATGCATATAGTACGATTTTCTATTCGTGTAGTCTTTTCCGGTTAGAAAAAGCTAGAATTTCTTTGATTAATTGTGACCTTTTTCAGATCGCAAACCACCTGGTGTGGGACGTGGAAGGGGAAGAGGTAGGGAGGATGGTGCTGGTGGACGTCAAGTGAAAGGAATTGGGCGTGGCCTTGATGAAGGTGGGGCTAAAGGGCCAGGAGGAGGCCGAGGCAGGGGTGGCCCAGGTGGAAAGCCTGGTGGAAACAGAGGTAAATCATCGCTTAGATCTTTCAAAATGCAACTATTGCATGTATGCCAACTGTTAATTTGTTGGTTTCTATCCCTCAAATTCACCAGAAAAGTGGTTTCTGCTATTATGCTATTGTTTTCACCTGGATGATCTGATGAGCCAAAAATCTCTTCAATGTGAAAAGTAAATTATTAAAGGAACTCAGTCTTACTCTTCCTTGTTTGGATGTTTAAGGAAAAGAGGGAATTTGGCTGTTCAAGTAAATATTAGAGAGAAGTTATATGTTACAAAATTAAATTTTCAATATAGTCCATGTTGTAATGAAGGGGAACCTTGGCACAATTTGATTTATCTAATCAGCCTCTTGCAATTACAAGGCAAGGCTGCCTACTTGTTGAGATATATAGTCCCACATTGGTTGAAGAGCAACTAATGTGGGAGTTTATAAGACCTTGGGCACTCCCACCCTTTGAGCTAGCTTTTGGGATGGTGACCTCAAGGTTCTTAACATGGTATCAGAGCTTGAGGTTCGATCCTCACCGCCCTCCACTTTAAAGTGGAAGTACAAAAGGTAAACCAAAGATTGAGCCTGTTACATAATCCACGCTTCAAGCCAAGAGGGCTCTTGCGTGAGGGGGCGTGTTGAGATATATAGTCCCACATTGGTTGAAGAGCAACTAATGTGGGAGTTTATAAGACCTTGGGCACTCCCACCCTTTGAGCTAGCTTTTGGGGTGGTGACCTCAAGGTTCTTAACACTACTATAGACCTACACTATGGGTCTAACCATTCCTTGGACTAGCGGGAACTTTATAGAACCAAACAGCCATTTTATAATCCATTTTTTAATCTTGTAACACAGACCTTGGGGTACTGCATGTAATCTAAGAAATATTTAAGGTTGCTTATAGATCCACACAAAAGGTCTAACCCTTCCGTGGACCCTGCTTTATAACATTAGGCTTCCCTTTTATAATGTCCCCGAGGGGAACCCTTCCCCTCCTTTAAACCTCCAAACAAGGGTCTAGGTCACTTTTTTCCTCACGCCTCATCTTTACCTCCCATCCAACATATTACATACCATAGATATTGTGATTGAAATCTCATCCAATGTTTCTTCTTCTTGTGATAGGTGCAGGACGAGGCAGAGGTTGATTTGAAAGTACTTCAGATGGGCCAGTTGCTGCTTTTTGAGGCATTGGTGCCCGTTCAGCAGATTTACTCTCTGTGTTTCGTGTGTAATATTGGATTTTAGGTTTTTCCAATTATTTTCTTGCATTTCTAGTCATAGAAATGGTGATATTATAGACCTCAACAGAGCTTCTATTCCAACATTATTTTCTAATGCCTTTCCTATTGAAAACTTGCCTATGTATTCCATTCCCTCAGAAGTAAGAGGGGGGTACATGTTAATTCTTAAATAGTAAATACTTCCCAACCTTGCTATGTTTAGAAATGTTGTCTTCCTGAATCTTAATTCTTGCTATTCGTGAAGGTTGAAGCCTAAAGTAAACATGAACGTAATTCGCTTATTGGGTGTGGTTTAATTTTTTATTTTCTTTTTATTTTTTCTTCTTGTGTGTGTTAGTTGGGGGTAGGGGTGTTAACGAGCCGAGCCGAGCTTTGGTCTTAAAAGGTTAAGCCTGTGTTTAAATGTGTTAGCCTGACCAAGTCTATTACCTGTTATAAATATAATTATCGGCCTGTGACTTGCTTTGTTTACAAAAAATAAAAGTCTGATTTAGCTTGTTTAAAAAAAATAAGACAACGAAAATTTATTCAAACAGAATATACAATCAACAACACTAGTAATTCAATAAATATTCATAAATTTAATGTATATATAACAAAATTATTCAAAAAGTCTGTTTAACCAATAAAATGAGGTGAAATGGATTAAGGAGAAAGAGAAGCTATTACAAATAGTATAATAAAATATAAAATATAAAATAATATATTAGGCTAGTCTGAGAGGTTCTAAGGTCGAATTTTTGAACTGGAGCCTGAGACTTTTTTATTAAACGAGTTTTTACAAGTTCAAGTCTGGTGTCAACAATCAATTTTAGACATGTAAACTCAGGCTTTCATGAGCCGAGCCAAAGGCCTTTGAAAGATTCCTCGTTTGTTTAGCACTCCTAGATGGAGGTTGCTTTAGCTTTTAGTAAATGTTCCCAATGAATTAGATATGCCCGAAGTAGTTTCGTCTCTTAAAAAGAAAAGAAAAAGAAAATAAAAGTGTTTGAGATTTTTAATGACATAATTTTTTGTAATTTTAAGTGAAATAAGTGTATTTTATTATATATTTATTGATTTTTTTTATATTTTTTGTTATAATTTCCTTTTTTTTGCCATTCCTAATTTTGTGGAGGTGAATGAATATAAAAGATAAATAAATATATATCAAAATAAGGTTCATTTAAAATGATAAATATTTTTTTAAAAATAATTAAGTAAGAAATTAACGTTCCTCTTATAATATAAGATAAAGTTATTTTTTGTAATATTAAAATAATATCGTTTGAGATTTGGGAAAAATAATGTAGGATATTTTGGTAAAATTAAGTAAAATTTTAAAAATACCTGTATTTTTTTCCCTAAACCCCCAGAAGATAACTTTATCTCCTATTTTTGGAGAAATATTTTTCCTTTAGAAATTAGAGAATATTACAATTCTTAATTTTATTCTTGATTGCACGTTGAACTGGTTTGTTTTTCTTGTATGTAGTCCAATATTTCCCTTCCAGTATTAGTCATCAATTTTATTTTTTAAAGCTAACCATCATGTGACTCCGTTTTCCCAATGTGGGGGCTTGGATGATGTAGCCTGTTTATTTAAGATTTTTTTTAAAAAAAAGTTTTTATGATATAAATTTTTTCGAATGTTATTATTATTAGATTATGAAAAGAAAAACATTATAGCAGTTTTTTTTATGTTTTTATCTTTTGTTTTGAAAAATTTAAAAGTTTTTTTAATTAAAAAACTTATTTCATATCTACCAACATCTGCTCAACCCTAAGTTCGGCAGTAGAATTTCACTCCTATATGCTCCAATTCTAGAATATGCTTTTTTTACCTCATTAGTCGCAAACCAGTCATAAGATTAAGTGACACTAGGCCCATTTCAGTTAGATACAGCCTCAATAAAGGCCCAAATACGAAAACACTTATTATCCATTACTGATTTTAACATTAACAAACATATAATTCGTCATTCTTTACCAATTACCATCTTTGAATGGGAAAGGGTTGTTGAAAACTTAACCTTCGGAAAATTAATAAAGTTCAATGAATTATTTTGTTTTTATTTTCAATTTTTATTTTATTTTAATTTGACTAGTTCTAGTTAACAAAAATGATATTAACCTTATGCACATAAGTATAAATTTGTAATCAGTATTATTCAAACAAATAGTGGCTTTTGTTTTATTTATGACGTGGGGAGTAAGGAAACAATACTGGTCGAGTGGTCATCATTGAATTTATAATGCATAAGCAATACTATTCAAAGTTCAAACAATTGGTCATTTTTCTTTTATTTATGTCGTAGGAAGAAAGGAAACAACGCCCCTTCATCGTTGACTTGATAATGCCCTGGCTCCGCATCCATTGTGGATTCTACAGTATTATTCACTACTTCTAAAATATTAACAAAACTATTTTTTATATTTTTTCTGGTAATTTTTAATCATTAGATGAAATTTTATGTTAACTTAGTTGTATTAGTAGAGAATCAATTTAAATTATTTAATAAAAATTTCATTTAATGATAAAAAAAATCAAAGAAGATGTAACTGTCATTCCTCGTCGACTAAGCATTTTGGCGTGCTGGGACCTGGTCATCAGATTTCGAAACACTTAGTTGACGTGTTTGTGTTTAAAACTTCTGATTGAGACTACTGTTTGAACTTTGAATTGGTCGTTTTCCACTTTTTTTTTTTTGGTAGTTGTCAATTTCAACTTTTGAGTTTTGATTGCCATTATTATTGAGTTCATAATTGCTTTGAGAAAACTGAAAACTATTGATAGAAAAGAGAGGCCATATAATGTTTTTGTTTTCTGTTTTACAAATGACATGTGTTTGACTAAACTCCACGAGTTTTTTCTAGTTCTTTCAAAACTATACTTTATATTTTTTATTTCAACTTACTTTAGAAATAATTAAATTAGTACCGCATTCGTTAAATAAAAGATCTTATTAATTAATATTTTATGTGGATACAAAATCAAATTTGACACTGCACAGTCTGCATCCATCTGGAGTACTATTATATATAGGGCAGGGAAGGTTTTTTGTTTTTAATCTGAGTGTAGCGCATATGTTAAAAAGGGAAAATATACTTTACATTCATCATGCATTGGATGCACTTTGTGCCAAATACCAATTGTATAGTGTGGTACGAAATGTATATATTTGCTTCCATAACATGCCATATTAGTACATTTTGGTAAAATATTCGGCAAAGAGTATAATGATTTTTATTTTATTTTTTAAATTAAGACGAACATTACATGGAATGTAATTAGTATATTAAAATCATACAAGATAAGATTTAAATGAGATTTTATATTAAAATCATACAAGATAAGATTTAAATAAGATTTTTCTTAATACAGTTTTTTTTTAAACGTAGCCTTTATCTTCTCTTCTCTCTATTCCAACATTTTCCTACCAAACATTACGAAATTAATGATTAAATGTTTTGCCTCGGTTGAGTGCTAAGAGAATTTTTTACCTATTCTTATAAGGAAAAAATGTGTGTTATTTTAAAGAATATAAAGTTGTGTCATTTTAAGAAAGAGAAAGAAATAGATAAAGGGAGAGAGAGAGTTAATAATAAATAAATAAATATGTGAATCCTACTTCTTTGTGAGTGTGAAAGGATATAAATTGTATCATTTAAAAAGATAAATACTTTTTCCTTCTTATAAATATAGTACTTTATTGTAAAAAAGTTAAATAAAATCTTAACTGGTGATAATATTATTCTGAGAGCATTTATGTTTTTCTTGGATTTGGATACTTTCATATTTAAAAATAATTATGAAATTATATTGTTTGATCACAATTATTTATTGGTGATTAAATAAGATGGAGAAAAATATATAATTTTTAAATAAATAATTATAATTAAACAACATAATAATCACGTGGCCACTTTTATCCAAATACGTTTTTATTAGTGGTAGTACGATTGTGACCAATGATAAGGTGGTTTGTGGCTGCGTGGCCGCATTGAAATTAATGGATGCAATTTTGTGAGGATCGGACCAAAGGGAGCACTTGTGTTGTATCAGTGTTTCGGTATCAGTGTCATCTCATATCAATTCAAGGTACACATACAATAAAAAACAATAACCGTTATTAAGGCTATGTTTGATTTCTGTTTTGCAAAATAATTTTTTAGTTTTTAAGAGAAAAAACAAAAAAATTCGTTTGTTAAGACTTGTTTTGTAAGAAATGTTTTGAAAATTATAACGGTTTTTTTTTTTAAATCAAATTTAGAGAACATATCTGAGTTATTTTTGTTTTCTGTTTTAGTTTTTAACTTTAAAAAAAACAAAATATAAAAAATAACTGTTTCCATAACTATTTTACAAAACAGTTTTAAGAACAAAAAAATCAGAAAACAATCAAATATAGTTTTTTAAAATTACTGTTTTAAAATAATTAATTTTATGAAGTATACAAGCAAAAATATTATCAATAAATCATGATAAATCAATATAAAAAAATTTAGAATTAAAATAAAAATAAATTTATTTATATTAATAGGTAGAATATTCTTACTATTAATTTATTATATTCTAATATAATTATATATTTCGAGAAATATATTAAAAAATGATTTTCTTCAGAAATTGTCGTTTGAAAAATGAAATTTCATGTGATAAGAATAATGTAAATTATTATTAAAAATATTTGATAGCAAGAATATGTTGCACATTTACTCTTAAATTTAATTCGCCAGCTATTTCTGCACCGTGAAAGTCTATTCCACACCAGATACCTTGTCCCCCTCTCGCTTCTTTTTCTATCCGTAGTTCGGTGATGTTGAATTATTGAGCCATAAAGTAACAATGAATTTGTGAAACTTACTTCTTTCATTTTTTTATTTAAAAAAAATTGACAGAGAAAGAAATATACAGAGATTTGATTTTTTTATACAATTAAAAACAGAGGCAGAATCAAATTACTTCGGTTTAAAAATAAAAATAAAAAGTTTTATAGTCAATGTTAACTTTTGATGTCACTTATAATTAATTATTTACATAACTACTAAAATATAGTCGTTAAAAGTAATTATATAATAATTGAAATTGGATGTAATATTTACACGAATATAACATTTAACAGATTTAATAATTTAAGAAATATTGTAATCGGTTTATCGCTTTGCGATTATTTTGATTTGAGATGGGTCCCGGGATTAAGGTTTTAAAT